ATACTATTTCTTTTTCGGTTTTATTTTTGTTATGAATTGCCTCAACTTTTTAGATCTTGACAAAACATGGCACATTTCCACCTTCAGGTTACTGCAGACCAAATATTGTCACAATGAGCCTACATTCAGCATTTCTTCACAAAAGGCACTGAATCTCCTCATGCATCATCATGCTGCTGTTATGGATATATAAAACTCACTAACTGAAATCTGAGACTATTGGTACTACCAGTATCCACGTCAGTACTACCCTTTCTAGTATTACCCTTGGGAAAATCATTATTTAGTATACTTCCCTGAGAGATTTGAGTCAGTACTGCTGACCAAACAGGGTTTTTACTACACATTCATCTAAATCAAGACTGTGTTTTCATTTGAGTAAACCCGCGAAGCAAAATTTTCTTAGTATATTTATTACTATAACTAGAAAGCCTCCTATATCATCTTTAACTGCAAATAAATGTATGTTGTTTGCAGTCAAAAAAACCCCAAAATGCATTCTTTACTGAGGATCTCAGTTTTACAAAAAAAACCAAACGACAACAAACAAACCAAAAGAGAGTGTGCATCTGGTAAAAGGCACATAAATCCAAAGTGGATTTTAAATGATTATCAAGGATGATCTTGCAATGATACCCACCAGTCCCCTCAATACTCATGGGTCCATGCCATCGGGTCAGAAGAACTTCTGCAGAATCACAATGTGCTGAGTTGGAAGGGATCCACAAGGACTATTGAGTCCTGCACAGGACACTCCAAGAATCACACCATGTGCCTGAGAGCATTGTCCAAATCCTTCTTCAACTCAGACAGGCTTGGTCCTTTGACTACTTCCTTGAGGAGCCTATTCCAGTGCTCAACCATGCTCTGGGTGAAAAAGCTTTTCCTAATATCTCACCTAAACCTCCCCTGACTCAATTTTATGCCATTTCCTCAAGTCCCATCGCTGGTCACAAGAGTGAAGCAAGTTATGATTGCCCCAGACTTGTGATTAGTGAGGGCTGGTCTTACAAGTAAGGACTGAGGTAAAGAAGATAATGAGTACCTCAGCCTTTTCCATACTTTTTGTCAACAAGTCGCCAGCCCCGCCACGGAGCAGCAGGCCCACATTCTGCAGCAAGTCCATATTTTCCTTAGTCCTTTTGTTGCTGATGTTTTGTAGAAGCTCTTCCTGTTGTAATTCGTATCTCTCACCAGATTCAACTCCAAGTGGGCTTTGGTATCCTTGGACAGTGTCTTTATATTCCCTCCAGGTCATCTATCTTTCCTCTTTTACACTTCCCTTTTAAACTAAGGATTTTATCAGTATCTTTATCACATAAAGATAGAGATTCCTGTCTTGATTCTGATATTACTCCATAAATGTATGTAAAAAGGACAATGCATTCTTAAAATGCTGAAACCATCTCTTGAATGAAACACCAATTTGTGATATATAACTTTAAACATAAGAATGAGCATATATTACATCCTTCTTAAAAGTTTCATTCACTTTATAAGCTTATTCTCTTGAGTTCATTTATTAAAGTTCTGTTTACTTACTCTTGAGGTGCTCCGAGCTCATAGAATATATAATAGAAATCTCAAAATTGCTCTTGGTGTCTTCATATCAAAATGGATGGTTGCCAGTACAGTAACAGAGCTTAGCACTTCTCTTCACAAATATGCTGCCATTGAAACTAATGAAAATGTTGATACTAAGTAACCTAATATTTAAAAATATTTTAGGTAAGACACGCTTTCATAAATAACTTAAGGAAGAAAAAGTGCAGTATGAGTAAACTCATACTGACTCCTAAAATCAAGCTGATTAAAACACTAACCAGAAGTGGTGAAAAAAAAATGTTTGAGGTCCATGGAGGAATCTTAAATCTTTGGCTCTTCTCTGTCATATGTGTCTTGATGTTTGATAATGAGAACTGAACTGATTAAATTATAGGGAAAAATAGTTAATAAATAAAATGAAGTAATGCATTAACCTACAAAGAGACAGTTGACCTTGATGCAGTCTCTAAAGTTTCCATTGGGGCATCTTGTAAGTAAAACTTGCCTGGCACTGGTTCTGCCATCACTGCAAATATGAACATATATGTGTGTTAATGTGTATATTTCTAATACTTTGTATGTGCGTCAATATATCTTCCTACATCTGTTTTGCCTACCTAGATTACATACTTTCTTCATCTTGAAAACAGAACAAAGGCAACATCACTTAGAATGAGTTTTTTTACTCAGTAAGAAATGACATTTTGCATACAGAACATTTGATGGACTAATTGTATCATTAAAGGAAGCCAATATTTTGGTACCATTACTTCCTCTACCCGATGCTGTTAGCTATTTTAGTAAAATAGTTTCCTATTCTTATTCTATTACATCTAATTACTATTGTATTTAAGCCTAATACCATTTATTATAGTGTATAAATAACAAGGTCTGAGGAAAGAAACTACCAGATATGTCAGCCTAGGTGATAGTCAGAAGGAAGCTGTCTTGTCCTCTTGATAGAGACAAGGAAACTCAAATTTGCTAAAGAGACAGATAAAGCACAGCTGAAAAATCATATGTAATCATGTACGTGATGCTAGAGGAGTGTACAACAGTACAAAAATAGAATATAGACAGGAAGCAATGAGATAAATACAAACAAACTATGATATGTCACACATACTTTCCACCCATGGGGTTGCTCACAGAAAGATCCCTTCATGCTGCTGGTTACTATGGGGACAAGGACAGCCCAGGAGCCTCCTTAGGACAGACATCTAGCCCATGACTCAAGGCAGTGGGATATTACCAAACATTAATCCACAAAAACTGTGAGCTTAGAGGTATCAAAAAACATTTTTTTTTTTTTAATAAAGGAGGTAGGACAGGATGGATATGTTTCAGATAATAATGAGCAGCCTAATCTATACATTTTAATTTTGGCTTTTGATATTTCCAAATTCTTTTACAAATATCATCACTATGGAAAAATTCATCACTTTGGAGAAGGTTTACCATGGGCCAATAAAATAAAGCAATGTTTTACAATTTATAATATCATTTAGTATTATGAAAATGTGAAAAGTATTTAGTATTTTAGTATATGAAACTTGAATTAATTTCCAGAACATTTCTCTGTGTCAACAAAGTGCAAAAAAAAAAAAAAAAGAGTTTACAAAAAGAGAAACATAGACAACATTGCATAAAGACCTACTCTAAAAATCTAACACAAAGGGCTGACCCTGAAATTAGCTCAGTTGGTTAGAGCATGGTGTTAACAACACCAGGGTTGTGGGTTCAATCCCCACACTGGCCATTCGCATAAGAGTTGGACTCAATGATCCTCGTGGGTACTTCCAACTCAGAATATGCACTGTATCAAAGTTCAAGCAACAAATGGAAGAAATTGGGAAGCAGCTGCACAAAACAACACACATATAAACTAAGGAGTATCAGAATGATCTACACTTGTCTGTGTGTGTAGAACTTAAGAACTGGGGAATTACCCAGAAATTTATGAAGTCATATTCTGACAGGACTGGACTGCTAAAAAAGACTTAAATAACTAGCTGTGGAATAAGCAGGATGTGTAAGGATCTGAGTTTTATACAAAATTTAAATTTATGTTTAGGTGGAATATCTACAAGCAACATATTCATCCGCAAAACAGGGAAAACAAGCTTCTCCCATTTTATAGAGGTTCTCTAAGGAAGAATACATAGAGATTCTGAGGCTCCTGTGTTGTGTTGTTGAACTGGAGTACACAGGTTAGCTAGACATAAGAATATATTTTTCAATCTATGAGATAATCTTACACTTGAAAATTAATTTCCTAGAGATTGGTACAGAGATGCATTTAAGAAACACTTCTTTTTCAACACTTGAAAAACATCACATAGCAAGCAGTGACAAATGCTGACCCCAAATACAGCACTAAGAGATCTGAAAAGCATTGAAACAGAACACTTGGAAAACAAAAGAAATATGAAAATAGCATTTTCAATATTATTTTTTCTGCAACAAAATCTCACTGTATTTATTTCATGATCATCCAGCATGACAAAACAAACAGGATTCAAGTGCTATGAAATATTGTTCATGTAAAATAGCCTGAGGCAGTCTCTCTGCCTGTGCTAGCAGTTGTGCTAATGATACAGTAACAGCTTTAGAATAATCCCCTTCACCTTCAGAAACACAAACAATCTTGTATAAACAGAAGAGAAAGGATCTCAAAATTCTTCCCTAGGCAGTTGTAGGCACGAGTCAAGATGGTGCACACAATTGTCTTGCATATAGTGGACTGTCATTGATAACAGCATCACTTAACAAGAACAGCAGCAGCAGAGGCCTTGCCATAAAACATACATAGGCTAAGTCTTTCCATTAGTTATCACACAACCAAAATCAAATTAGGGCTACTGATGATTGAAATTAAGTAAAATATGTATCTATTTAAATTAATTCATGTGATCCAGTGATGAGATTCTTTGACAGGTGGAACAGATGTTGGTTGAAGTAATTAAGTTGCATTCATTGACCTTAGCTCTACCACCAAAGATGAACATGTCAGAGATCACGGATTTTGAGGGACATAAACATAGCACGGTGCATTCGTATTTTCATTACATATGATTATATGCCTAGTCCCCGGGTCCCTATTTTCAAAACTAGAAAGGTGCAAAAATCTCACTGGCAAATATTCAACTGATTATTTACACAACATATGGAAACAATACAAAAATAAAATTTGACTCTTCAGTGTTTCAAAGGACATAATCTTCTCTTCCTCTTACTGAAAAAGAATATAGTTACATATTTCACTCCCAGTTTCTTCCCCCCCACGCTAGCTTTATGCCAGATTAATTTCAAAGTCCTTAAGTTAATTCTGATATACAGAAATTGCATCTATGTAAGAAAGCAATTCTTAGTTATGTTTTACTGTTTGTAAATAATTTAGAATATTTTTAGGACAATATATGGCATAGGACAGTTGTTAAGGTGACTTCAGTTACCTGGGTAATACCTTGCGAGGCCAGTTGCACTGCCAAAAACCTGCCATAATAAAGTGGGGTCTTCTTCTCTGTTCCTCTTGAACACATCATCCAATGCTGCCGTCCAGTTGAGTTCATTTAACACTATGGTTGCTGCCGAAGACAAAACATATTTGTTATTAGAAAGTCACTTCCTAACACAAGAAGCAATGACTCCAAAAAGAAAATTGCAAAAAGCAATTACATTTAACTAACCCAGAAAATAAATTTAAAGAAACACACTTCCTTTCCTTGGGAATTTTCTTTAAATTCCTCATGCTGCTTTCTTCCCATTGCATTATTTGTATGCAATGACTCTTGAATTATTTGCACAGTCAATATCTTCTACAAATACTTTGTTCCTAAGATGTCACTCTAGTTGCACTTCCCAATCATAGAAAAGATCATTTATAGAAATATGCAAGCGTATAAAGTTGATTCTTACTAATTACAACACACTGCAATAAGAACAACTAGAATGACGTTAACGAAAGTAGGTATATACCTCTCATAAGGGTAACAAAGATGTCCCTTTCCAAATGGATGCTGTAAAGGATTACATGGGAAAAAGACATTGATGAGTTATTTGGATTGTAATACTAAGGTGAGGCTGCATACACAGTAGTGCTCATTATCACATGTTAAGCAGATCTTAATTCATAGGTGTGGGCCCTTACAGTAAGATAACCTTTATGAGTTGGGTCAGTTCCATAATGAACTTGAAGTGCAAGGAAATTCACGTTTCAGCTAAACACTGTGTGGCCAGTTACACAGAAACTTACATTCATAGAGTTGTCCTGTTCCAATGCTTGTTATAATCCAACAAATAGTTTATATAATCTACCAAATATATACTATATTAATATGTTCTATGACTTTTTAAGAAAGAGATGCATTGGGAAACTTTAAAATTGATGAACACTGCTACAGTAATTGTCCATGGGCTATAGTCAGAAATTTTATTGTGATACAAAACATCTTACGATATGATAAATCATGTTTTTCAACTCATTTAATCAGTTGTAAACATTTAATTTCCTTCCCAAAAAATCATAATAATTTTAGGCAATAGCAAATATACAGTATGAAAAGCAAAGGCTTTTTGTTGGTTTAGTCACTAACATTTTCTTTTGCATTGCCTTAAGTAACATTTCTTAAATTGAAACACATAGACCAGCAAGCCAAGAGTGGAAAGGGACCTAGAGGGGAGAAAAAAAAAAACCACTTTTGGAAATAGTTAAAGATGTAGATATAAATCCCATGACAGTTAACACTCATACAGATCCTCCTCACACTATGGTATTGCACACAGGAAATATCTGTGTATTTCCTTCTCTTGCAAATGGGCAAGTCAAGCTGAAATAAAAGCAGTTGGGGCCTGAGTGGCATCCCTGTGCAAAATTTGATATGTAGGTCTACTTTCTATCCCCCTGCTACCAGGGAAAAAAAGAAACAATAAAAATAAGGATGGATTGAAAGTTAAGAGTTGACAGCCCACTTACAAAGTGAGGCTGTTAACAGGTACTAAAGAAATGAGATCACAGCATTAAATTTTATAGGCTTGTTTTTAAAGGTTAAGGAGAAAATTGCTACACCATGTGTTTTGCAGAAGGGTTTGGGTTTTTTTTAAAGTAGTTTTAAGGTATTACTCTCTCAAGAGATAGCTTTTTATAGCAATATCAAATTAAATTTCCAACTCTTGAGATTTCCTGTAAGCAATAAGCTTGTACTATATACCTGTCTCTTTGTCAATTAGATAATTATAAATAAATATACGTTTACTTAAGAAAGAAAAACAATTCCCTGAGGCACCATGAGATGTTTATTATAATTTTAAGATGGTTCTTATCTTTTTTAGATCCTGTTTGACCTGCTGTGTAATTAAGCATTATGTACAGACTTTCTAAACTTGACTTTGTGTCAGATCTTATTTCCAGAAGTGGCTCCATGAAGTCATTAGAAGCTCTGTCATTTACTTAGATATGAAATTTTCAGCTTTTGTTTCTTTTCATGTTACTGTTTCCCTATCCAGTGGACAGAGTACTTGGCCCACTGGAAGCCTATGAGCACTGGAGCTCAGGACACTTAGTTAAGGCACATGGGAGACATTAATTGTTACCTCTTTGCTCATTGAAAAGCATTTATGTTTCAGGGTTCACTATGAATTCCCAAGCCCCATAACAGCATAAATCAGTGCATTTCTTTGGTCTTGTGACATGAGTTCAAATTGCTGCAGATTCTGTCCCCAAATCTATCATTGACTTTATGACTCTGGTCAGGACACTGGTACCCTTGAAAAATTTAATTTTTTTTTTTTTAATTTAAAGTTAATCATGCCAATAAATGCTTTTCTAAATTGGTGACTGTGCATTCCATGGAAAAAAAAATCTTCTCATACAAAATGTGATTCAATATTTCTAAAAAGAGGATTTCCCTCAAACTGTAAGCTTATTAATGAATAAACTATGTCCACTGAAGATATATTAAACATCTTACTATACATTTAAGAATACTGTTGCAGAGTGTCTGTGCAATATCACCCAAAAATGTGTTGCAAAAATATATATGTATATATATATGAACCTATGTTACAGACACCTCTGTACATACAGAGTCATACATACAGAAGTATATACCTAAAATACACACATATAAAAAAAAGAGACATTAAGGAGACAATCTACAAATAGTAAAATAAATAAATACTGAATGTCTTAATGTATATATTGGAATTGAAAATTTCAGCAATTAATTAGACTTGTTGAGATTAGCTATAAAGTAAGAGATAAAGATTACTAGACCTTGTTTACAATATTTGTGGGCAAGTGACGTTTTATAGATAAGAGTCAAGAGTTTTATAATATTATTTATGTCCCACTTTCCCTGTTCTCCTCCTCTATAACTTTCTCCCAGAGACAATTGCAACAGACTCAAAAAATCCAAGAGTTTGCAGCAAGGGAAAAAAACCCCACAAACAATCCAACACATGATGCTGGAATTAAAAAAAAAATAAATTATTTGGAATACAAGAAAAGCAAAAGAACAGAACATCTTAACAGAAGTAAGATGAAATAAATCTGAGAAAAGGCTGCTAACAGTATGTAATATATCTGTTCTCAGACACTGCAGAAACAGGTCTTCCTGAACTCCAGAAATTTGCAGTAAGTGCCTGAGTCTCATTTCACTAACAAACTATATATAACAGCACACATGTAAGGTTCAACATATATCACCTTCCTCTTAATTCACTTTCTCATTAAAAATTTGTGCTTGGAACAAAGACAGAGTTTATTTGGTGGGACTGATACGCAAATAGCTGATTGCATGATCATTAAAACAATCATTCCTGCAGCAATTTGCTATTTGTAATTCAAAGTAGCTCCCTTCATTCAGGTTTTTTTTTGTTGTCGTTTTGGGATTTTTTATTCATTCTTTCTTAAAGTATACTTGATAACGAATGTATCCACATTTGTGTTAACTAATCCATTAATCAGTAAATGAGGAAAAGGGTGCTGGGAATTTCAGTTTTAATAATTCATTTTTCTAAGTGTTTCCCCACAACTTCTATTAATGTTTTCCTTCTGCTAAAACATACACCCTGCACTTCAAAAAACCAGCTATAAATTAAATCCTCTTTTTTTTTTTCTTTTTAATTTGAATGCAATACGTCTGGTAATTGGCAATTTCAGCCAATACCTCTGAGTGCTGGTTTAAAGCCTACAGGAATGGATTTGAAACTTTCAAAGAAAATAAAGCAAAACCAGTCATAATCAGCACAAAAATATTCTTCAAATGGTTCCTTATAAAATATCCTGATTCTTAATTTGCACATAAAAATCAATGCAGTGTTACTTTCACTAGCTCATAGGAGAGACCATAGCACCTGTTAGAATATCCTAATTTGAAAGATAATTTATATTGACTTCATGAATATAATGAGAATTTATTTTCTGTTATTAAAAAAATGCATTTTACTAAAATAAAATGTTTAAAGGTGCTATAGCACACATACTGAGATACTGTACATACACTTACCTTTCTATTGAGTTAACTTTTATACAGGAAAGAGCCTTTGACTGATAATTGGCAGAAAATCTAGTTGGAGATAACTCTCCAATAAACTTATTTTCAATTCTGCTAAAAGAAGTCTTTGAAGATTATTACTTCAAAGTACTTCAGCTGCTACCTATCACTTGATACAGGCAAGATGAAAAAATAAAATTTATCATCACACAATAGGAAACATCATTCTTTCTGGCTAATTCCACTGAACTTCATCCATCTTTTCCTTTTCTTTCTTCTTTATGATATGAGGTTTAGGGGCCTTGACAAGAAATGGATTCAATTTTCCCCTGCAAAATGCAATCAATAAAAAATAGAGAGCACTACTGTGCTCTCTTTAAAAGAACTGGAATACACTTCTGATGATTTATTCAATGTATAGGCCCTGGCCTGCATACAAGACAGAGTACAACTTTATTTGAAAAGCCTGAGAGCTATCTCCTATATCTGAAAATATGAGAGCTGCTGTTCCCTGTTGCAGGAGCTACACATACACTGGGGAGAACAGAAGGGAGCTCCTCAGCAGTTCATTAATCTTCTTTTAATGTGTGGAATGTATTACCGTCTATATTCTGCTTAATGAAGTTGACTCATTGATTTCTTGAAAGATAACACTGAGTAGTTATTGTTATGAATTAAATATACATTCACCATCAAATATTATGGTATTTAAAAGTGAGCACAGAGGGATAATACTTTTGCAAGTGCATATTTTTGCGTATGTGTGTGCAGACACAGACGTTTCCACCTGTAGCCATGCTTATTAGACAACAGAGAAAATCTACTGAAGGTATAAAGTAGTCTTCTTTACGACTCGTGTGTTTCAGTAATTTTTTTAAAGATTACATTCCTTCCAGTTCATGTTAAATTACACAGTTTTTTACTCACTTTCAGCTGTCACTGGAATGTTGTATCCCCATCTTCTCTTCCATCAGACTAAGAAAGGATGCACTTTTTATTTTAAGGTACTTTTAATTAGATTTTTACACTGGCTTATATATATGTATGTGTATATGCATATATATATATACATGTGTATATACACACATACA